GGTAATGAATCACCGAGATAAATCATCTGAATTACAAAAAGACCAGGATAAATTATCTGAAGTACAGAAACCCTGTAATGGAGCATCTGAAATACAGAAACGCCAGGATAAATCATCTGAAATACAGAAACACCGGGATAAATCATCCGAAATACAGAAACACCGGCATAAATTATCGGAAATACAGAAACCCTGTAAGGGAGCATCTGAAGTACAGAAACACAAGAATAAATCATCTGAAATACAGAAATCCTGTAATGGATCATCTGAGGTACAGAAACACCTGGATAAATCATCTGAAATACAGAAACCCAGCATTGAAGCATCTGAAATACAGAAACCCAGCATTGAAGCATCTGAAATACAGGAAAACGGAAATGAAACACCTGGGTATGAGGTTAGTTCAGATGGTGAAGTCCTCACATTATACCTATCTTTTCCTCCTATTCTAACTTGTCACCCATCGTTGGAGGGTTTGGAGGAGATTTCTCTAGACGGACATAACTACCTCCCGGTGGAAGTCAATGGTAAATGCTGTAAAATGTTTGTCGATTCTGGAACAACAAGCAATGGTATTGAACACAGACTCGCACAGAAGCTGGGATTAGATAAGAAAGTCGACTCAACCATTCTCCGTGATTCTTGGTTTTCGAGTGAAAACAAACACCTCAAAATAAGGCAAGTAGAAAATTGTAAAATTAAATTACAAAATGGCAAAGAGCTCGTTGCCACTGTAAATATTTTCCCACCAGAATTGGACAATTACTTCATCTCTGAGGACACACCAATGTTCTTCTTTAGCTTCCCACTGATGACAGAGAATCACATAATTCATCAGTTTAAAAGCAATAAATCTTCCATCTTTTTAAAACCTTTGAGAAGATTTACGAAAAAAGGATATGGGTTGAGCAGTTCTCCCTTGCCTTATCTTAGGATAAAGTTTCCATTATCTGCAAAAGACAATTATTGCAGCGATAAAGTTGTGGTCAATACTGGCTCCGATGCTTCAACCATTTCACAATTATTTTTGAAGCACATCGGCATGGAAACATGTCCTCCCAAAAAACTAAGAATACATGTGAAGGGTGACCTTTACCTGGAGGATGACTTGGAGGTGCTGGAGAATCCAAAGACAGAAATTCCTCTAACTTTAGGCACAACGTTCTTGTCAAAATACAATTGCACATTAGATTCCTCATCTTATTATCTGTTTTACAACATTAATAATAAAACCTATATGTCTTTACTCTACTGAAGACACAGGCCTAATTTGCTAGGTGTTTATATGGACGGTGTCTTTCAAGTATGGACAGTGTCACTCAAGTATGGACAGTGTCATTCAAGTATGGACAGCATCACTCAAGTATGGACAGCATCACTCAAGTATGGACAGTGCAACTCTTGTAAATATTTTTAACAAATAAAATGTATTAAAAGTTTTAATAATTGTATTATTTTTTCATATTAAAATGATAAAGAATTGTATAAATTGTAGAATCTTATTATGTAGCAAATGTTAGCACCCAAACTTCTACAGTTACCTATGTTCTTATGATGATAGATTTCCTTATGACTAAAAAGATAGATGCTCATTGTATTGGGATGCTATAATAAATTGAAATTGCTATATTAAATTGGTTATACCAAAGGAAACAAAGAGTTAATATAAATGGCGCTAAGTCAGACTGGAAAAATGTTGCAAGTGGAGTGTCTAAAGCCTCTGTCCTGGGATCACTGTTGTTCATAATATACATAAATGATTTAGATTCAAGTTTGAGCAGTAATATTTCAAATTTGCCGATAATACAAAAATCGGAAGAGAAAATAAACACAGTAAAAGACTCAGTATCACTTCATGGCGATCTAAATAGGGTTTTGAAATGGCGAAGAGTTTGGCAGATGCAGTTTAATGCTGACAAATGTGAGGTTTTGAGGCTAGATAATGATGATTGAGTACGAGCTAAATAGTGTTGAGATTGCGAAAGCGATCTAGGAGCAATGATTAATAGAAATTTAAAGCCAAAAAATAAATGCATATATGTTCGTAATCAGGCAAACAGGACACTGGGATTTATTAATCGAAGCGTTAGTAACAACACACCTGGTGCTGTTCTTTAAACATAAGAACAAAGACAACTGCTAAAGGCCTATTGTCCCATACGAGCCAATTCCTATTTATATCCACCTAATCCCACTCATATACATGTCAAACCCACGCTTGAAGAAGTGAAGGGACCCCCACCTTTACCACTCACTGTGGCAACTGGTTCCTATTACCTAACCAGTTTTTTCCCATGAACAAATCTACAAGGGCCGTGATGAGGATTCGAACCTACGTCCGAGAGCATCCCAGTTGCTGCCTTAATCGACTGAGCTAAGGCAGCGTCTGGGATGATGTCGGACGTTGGTTTGAATCCTCGTCACGGCCCTTGTGGATTTGTCCATTTAATGCATCACGCTATTGTGATTTCTGTGTGTTGTGTAGTATTTACCCAGGTTTTCCTAAATTTAAACTTATTCAGTTAATACCGATTGTTTCGTGTTCTGTCTTTTGTTAATACTTTTAATTCCCTATTAATATCCCCATTTAGATTATGCAGTTCAATTATGGTCGCAATACTACAGAATGGATATAAATTTACTTGAACACGTCCATCATAGGATGACCAACTTAATCCCTCAGATTAGAAACCTGTCATATGAAGAAAGATAGACAAAGCTTTCATTATATTCGTTGGAAAGGCAAAGAGTCAGGAATAACATGATAGATGTGTACAAGTGGATGAATGGATATCACAAAGGACACATTATTAGGGTAATAAAAGTTTCAACACAAGACATAACACTAAACAATGTATATAAAAGTTTGTTGAGTTCGTGAAGTCGGATTGCGAAAGGAATCTGGGAGATATGATTAGTAATTATTTAAAACCAAAATAAAATCAATGCATAAATGTTCGTAATAATACAAATAGGACACTGGGATTTATTATTCGAAGCGGTACTAATGGGACACCTAGAGTTGTTCTTCACCTGTAACCTGCTTTGGTTAGATTTGGCAGTTCTGATTTGGTCGCCGTACTATAGAATGGTTATAAGTTGACCAGACCACACACTAGAAGGTGAAGGTACGACGACGTGTCAGTCCGTCCTGGACCACTCTCAAGTCGATTGTGATGAGGAATGATTGATTAATGAAGATTAAGCCACCCAAAAGGTGGCACGGGCATGAATAGCCCGTAAGTGGTGGCCCTTCTGATCCATTACCAGTATCAATAGATGATACTGGAGATCTGTGGAGGTGCGACTGCACCCTGCGTGACGGGAGATCCCTTTCCATTGTGATGAGGAAGTAGATGCAGGGAATAAATAGGCAAGAGAGATATTAGGAGCAAAGTGTAATAGAGGGGATAGTAGTAGGAACAAGAACTGCAGAGGGCCTCGTATGGGCCTATTGGCCCATACGAGGCACCTCCTATTATAACCACCGAATGGGAAGAAAATAGTAATAGTCTTTCATATATATGAAAGATATTGGGTGGATATATATAGGAACTGCCTCATATGGGCCATTGGGCTTTCTGCAGTTATCTTCATCCTTATGTTTTTATGTCTATCCGTGAAATATTTTAGATTTTAGCTCCATGTATTTGCCAATAGATCTTCCGCAACTCCCATACTTCTTATGTTTTGAAGTGAGGTGAGCGGAGAAGCGTTCACATTAGCCCCAGTGAGTTGAGTGTACTTTTAGTATAAACGGAGACCCTGCCAGACGCGGATCGTCACTTGTCCTACTCTCTCAATACTTGTGTGAGTTAGACCTCATCTCTCAACACCTGTGTGAATTAGAAATGGAAAGAATTAATTACGTGCGCGGCTCCAAGAGAAAACGGAGTGAGCATCACTACAGCAATGACGCTCCGACAAAAAAACAAAAATACAGCAATGGAGCAGCTGATATAAAAACATTCTACAAAGGACGCACTGGATTACAGAACCACCGGGATAACTCATCTAGAATACAGGAATACTGGAATAGAAAAACTGAAATACCGAAACGCTGCAATGAAGAACAGAAGCACTGGAATAAATCATCATACAGCAATGTAGCAGCTGATATACAAACATTCTACAGAGGACGCACAGAATTACGGAACCACCGGGATAACTCATCTAGAAAACAGGAATACTGGAATAGAAAAACTGAAATACCGAAACCCTACAATGAAGAACAGAAGCACTGGAATAAATCACCATACAGCAATGTAGCAGCTGATATTCAAACATTCTCCAGAGGACGCACTGGATTACGGAACCACCGGGATAGATCATTTAGAATACAGGAATACTGGAATAGAGAAGCTGAAATACCGAAACCCTACAATGAAGAACAGAAGCACTGGAATAAATCATCATACAGCAATGTAGCAGCTGATGTACAAACATTCTCCAAAGGACGCACTGGATTACGGAAACACCGGGATAGATCATTTAGAATACAAGAATACTGGAATAAAGAAGCTGAAATACCGAAACCCTGCAATGAAGAACAGAAGCACCGGGATAAATCATCATACAGCAATGAAGCAGCTGATATACAAACATTCACCAAAAGACGCACTGGATTACAGAACCACCGGGATAAATCATTTAGAATACAAGAATACTGGAATAGAGAAGCTGAAATACCGAAACCCAGCAATGAAGTGCAGAAGCACCGGAATAAATCATCTGAAATACAGAAATTCTGTAACGAAATTTCTAGAGAACAGAAAAACCGGGATAAGTTATCTGATATACAGAAATACCGAGATAAATCATCTGAAATACAGTAAAAATTCAATAAATCATCTGAAATACAGAAAAAATTCAATAAATCATCTGAAATACAGAAATCCTGCAATGAAGTATACATACTCCTGGATAAATCATCTGAATTACAGAAACAAAGGGATAAATCATCTGAATTACAGAAACAAAAGGATAAATCATCTGAGGTAATGAATCACCGAGATAAATCATCTGAATTACAAAAAGACCAGGATAAATTATCTGAAGTACAGAAACCCTGTAATGGAGCATCTGAAATACAGAAACGCCAGGATAAATCATCTGAAATACAGAAACACCGGGATAAATCATCCGAAATACAGAAACACCGGCATAAATTATCGGAAATACAGAAACCCTGTAAGGGAGCATCTGAAGTACAGAAACACAAGAATAAATCATCTGAAATACAGAAATCCTGTAATGGATCATCTGAGGTACAGAAACACCTGGATAAATCATCTGAAATACAGAAACCCAGCATTGAAGCATCTGAAATACAGGAAAACGGAAATGAAACACCTGGGTATGAGGTTAGTTCAGATGGTGAAGTCCTCACATTATACCTATCTTTTCCTCCTATTCTAACTTGTCACCCATCGTTGGAGGGTTTGGAGGAGATTTCTCTAGACGGACATAACTACCTCCCGGTGGAAGTCAATGGTAAATGCTGTAAAATGTTTGTCGATTCTGGAACAACAAGCAATGGTATTGAACACAGACTCGCACAGAAGCTGGGATTAGATAAGAAAGTCGACTCAACCATTCTCCGTGATTCTTGGTTTTCGAGTGAAAACAAACACCTCAAAATAAGGCAAGTAGAAAATTGTAAAATTAAATTACAAAATGGCAAAGAGCTCGTTGCCACTGTAAATATTTTCCCACCAGAATTGGACAATTACTTCATCTCTGAGGACACACCAATGTTCTTCTTTAGCTTCCCACTGATGACAGAGAATCACATAATTCATCAGTTTAAAAGCAATAAATCTTCCATCTTTTTAAAACCTTTGAGAAGATTTACGAAAAAAGGATATGGGTTGAGCAGTTCTCCCTTGCCTTATCTTAGGATAAAGTTTCCATTATCTGCAAAAGACAATTATTGCAGCGATAAAGTTGTGGTCAATACTGGCTCCGATGCTTCAACCATTTCACAATTATTTTTGAAGCACATCGGCATGGAAACATGTCCTCCCAAAAAACTAAGAATACATGTGAAGGGTGACCTTTACCTGGAGGATGACTTGGAGGTGCTGGAGAATCCAAAGACAGAAATTCCTCTAACTTTAGGCACAACGTTCTTGTCAAAATACAATTGCACATTAGATTCCTCATCTTATTATCTGTTTTACAACGTTAATAATAAAACCTATATGTCTTTACTCTACTGAAGACACAGGCCTAATTTGCTAGGTGTTTATATGGACGGTGTCTTTCAAGTATGGACAGTGTCACTCAAGTATGGACAGTGTCATTCAAGTATGGACAGCATCACTCAAGTATGGACAGCATCACTCAAGTATGGACAGTGCAACTCTTGTAAACATTTTTAACAAATAAAATGTATTAAAAGTTTTAATAATTGTATTATTTTTTCATATTAAAATGATAAAGAATTGTATAAATTGTAGAATCTTATTATGTAGCAAATGTTAGCACCCAAACTTCTACAGTTACCTATGTTCTTATGATGATAGATTTCCTTATGACTAAAAAGATAGATGCTCATTGTATTGGGATGCTATAATAAATTGAAATTGCTATATTAAATTGGTTATACCAAAGGAAACAAAGAGTTAATATAAATGGCGCTAAGTCAGACTGGAAAAATGTTGCAAGTGGAGTGTCTAAAGCCTCTGTCCTGGGATCACTGTTGTTCATAATATACATAAATGATTTAGATTCAAGTTTGAGCAGTAATATTTCAAATTTGCCGATAATACAAAAATCGGAAGAGAAAATAAACACAGTAAAAGACTCAGTATCACTTCATGGCGATCTAAATAGGGTTTTGAAATGGCGAAGAGTTTGGCAGATGCAGTTTAATGCTGACAAATGTGAGGTTTTGAGGCTAGATAATGATGATTGAGTACGAGCTAAATAGTGTTGAGATTGCGAAAGCGATCTAGGAGCAATGATTAATAGAAATTTAAAGCCAAAAAATAAATGCATATATGTTCGTAATCAGGCAAACAGGACACTGGGATTTATTAATCGAAGCGTTAGTAACAACACACCTGGTGCTGTTCTTTAAACATAAGAACAAAGACAACTGCTAAAGGCCTATTGTCCCATACGAGCCAATTCCTATTTATATCCACCTAATCCCACTCATATACATGTCAAACCCACGCTTGAAGAAGTGAAGGGACCCCCACCTTTACCACTCACTGTGGCAACTGGTTCCTATTACCTAACCAGTTTTTTCCCATGAACAAATCTACAAGGGCCGTGATGAGGATTCGAACCTACGTCCGAGAGCATCCCAGTTGCTGCCTTAATCGACTGAGCTAAGGCAGCGTCTGGGATGATGTCGGACGTTGGTTTGAATCCTCGTCACGGCCCTTGTGGATTTGTCCATTTAATGCATCACGCTATTGTGATTTCTGTGTGTTGTGTAGTATTTACCCAGGTTTTCCTAAATTTAAACTTATTCAGTTAATACCGATTGTTTCGTGTTCTGTCTTTTGTTAATACTTTTAATTCCCTATTAATATCCCCATTTAGATTATGCAGTTCAATTATGGTCGCAATACTACAGAATGGATATAAATTTACTTGAACACGTCCATCATAGGATGACCAACTTAATCCCTCAGATTAGAAACCTGTCATATGAAGAAAGATAGACAAAGCTTTCATTATATTCGTTGGAAAGGCAAAGAGTCAGGAATAACATGATAGATGTGTACAAGTGGATGAATGGATATCACAAAGGACACATTATTAGGGTAATAAAAGTTTCAACACAAGACATAACACTAAACAATGTATATAAAAGTTTGTTGAGTTCGTGAAGTCGGATTGCGAAAGGAATCTGGGAGATATGATTAGTAATTATTTAAAACCAAAATAAAATCAATGCATAAATGTTCGTAATAATACAAATAGGACACTGGGATTTATTATTCGAAGCGGTACTAATGGGACACCTAGAGTTGTTCTTCACCTGTAACCTGCTTTGGTTAGATTTGGCAGTTCTGATTTGGTCGCCGTACTATAGAATGGTTATAAGTTGACCAGACCACACACTAGAAGGTGAAGGTACGACGACGTGTCAGTCCGTCCTGGACCACTCTCAAGTCGATTGTGATGAGGAATGATTGATTAATGAAGATTAAGCCACCCAAAAGGTGGCACGGGCATGAATAGCCCGTAAGTGGTGGCCCTTCTGATCCATTACCAGTATCAATAGATGATACTGGAGATCTGTGGAGGTGCGACTGCACCCTGCGTGACGGGAGATCCCTTTCCATTGTGATGAGGAAGTAGATGCAGGGAATAAATAGGCAAGAGAGATATTAGGAGCAAAGTGTAATAGAGGGGATAGTAGTAGGAACAAGAACTGCAGAGGGCCTCGTATGGGCCTATTGGCCCATACGAGGCACCTCCTATTATAACCACCGAATGGGAAGAAAATAGTAATAGTCTTTCATATATATGAAAGATATTGGGTGGATATATATAGGAACTGCCTCATATGGGCCATTGGGCTTTCTGCAGTTATCTTCATCCTTATGTTTTTATGTCTATCCGTGAAATATTTTAGATTTTAGCTCCATGTATTTGCCAATAGATCTTCCGCAACTCCCATACTTCTTATGTTTTGAAGTGAGGTGAGCGGAGAAGCGTTCACATTAGCCCCAGTGAGTTGAGTGTACTTTTAGTATAAACGGAGACCCTGCCAGACGCGGATCGTCACTTGTCCTACTCTCTCAATACTTGTGTGAGTTAGACCTCATCTCTCAACACCTGTGTGAATTAGAAATGGAAAGAATTAATTACGTGCGCGGCTCCAAGAGAAAACGGAGTGAGCATCACTACAGCAATGACGCTCCGACAAAAAAACAAAAATACAGCAATGGAGCAGCTGATATAAAAACATTCTACAAAGGACGCACTGGATTACAGAACCACCGGGATAACTCATCTAGAATACAGGAAAACTGAAATACCGAAACGCTGCAATGAAGAACAGAAGCACTGGAATAAATCATCATACAGCAATATAGCAGCTGATATACAAACATTCTACAGAGGACGCACAGAATTACGGAACCACCGGGATAACTCATCTAGAAAACAGGAATACTGGAATAGAAAAACTGAAATACCGAAACCCTACAATGAAGAACAGAAGCACTGGAATAAATCACCATACAGCAATGTAGCAGCTGATATTCAAACATTCTCCAGAGGACGCACTGGATTACGGAACCACCGGGATAGATCATTTAGAATACAGGAATACTGGAATAGAGAAGCTGAAATACCGAAACCCTACAATGAAGAACAGAAGCACTGGAATAAATCATCATACAGCAATGTAGCAGCTGATGTACAAACATTCTCCAAAGGACGCACTGGATTACGGAAACACCGGGATAGATCATTTAGAATACAAGAATACTGGAATAAAGAAGCTGAAATACCGAAACCCTGCAATGAAGAACAGAAGCACCGGGATAAATCATCATACAGCAATGAAGCAGCTGATATACAAACATTCACCAAAAGACGCACTGGATTACAGAACCACCGGGATAAATCATTTAGAATACAAGAATACTGGAATAGAGAAGCTGAAATACCGAAACCCAGCAATGAAGTGCAGAAGCACCGGAATAAATCATCTGAAATACAGAAATTCTGTAACGAAAATTCTAGAGAACAGAAAAACCGGGATAAGTTATCTGATATACAGAAATACCGAGATAAATCATCTGAAATACAGAAAAAATTCAATAAACCATCTGAAATACAGAAAAAATTCAATAAATCATCTGAAATACAGAAATCCTGCAATGAAGTATACATACTCCTGGATAAATCATCTGAATTACAGAAACAAAGGGATAAATCATCTGAATTACAGAAACAAAAGGATAAATCATCTGAGGTAATGAATCACCGAGATAAATCATCTGAATTACAAAAAGACCAGGATAAATTATCTGAAGTACAGAAA